CACTTTCAGGAGTATGTTGTCAGTGTCTTGTTTGTGGTGCTCCAGGATGTCATCTCACGCATCTGGACCCTGGATTTTGCTCAGCATTGAAACCGTCCTCCCAACCACTAGACTCCAACAGAGTAATACTGACTGGTCAGGGCACCCGCAGAATGTGCTGGAGTTCTGGTCAAAGGACCGGTTGCACTTTTTGAACGACACTAGTCTTTCAGATTCTAGACTCACATGGCCGGAGCTGGTTTTTCGATTTCATCGGGGACTTTGGGGGTAGTAAAGCGCCTGCTCGAAACCCATTCCCATCCCAAGCCTTCTGACCCGACGATTTCAGCATCATTCTGTCAAACTTCTTGCAGCTGCTGGCGGTGCCTGCGGTTGGCCTTGCTAGCATCTCACGCCTCAAGCAGTTCTGCAGCTGGCATTTGCGCACATCGGAACTTAAGCTGTCCTCAGATTGTGTGGGGTTTTCTACCCAATGGTTGTTCCATGCTAGTTGCATCTGGGCAGCGCCGAGCTGCCCAAATGCTCGCTTTATGCCATCGTGGGACTTCGAACAGTGGCGTGTGTTCTTTCCGCAGTCTGAAGTGGCATAGTTATGTTTCGCATCCTCCTCACGCAGAGCTCAGCTTTGACGGGCATTGCTTCGAGGCTCGTGTGTTCTGGTAAGTCGTCTGCAGTAAAGACCTAGAACCATGATTCCAGGATGTAACCGTTTACGTGCGGAAGAAAACTATTGTCTTCGCCCTCACTTTCCCATTGTTACGTTTTGCAAGGGTGCGAAGAGACGCGAAGAAAAATCACCAAATACTATCTGCACAAGGTACAAAAGCCCACCAACAGGTCATTTGTCTTGTGTTTGTAAGATGACGCACGACAATGTGCAAATTGACCGGGCGTCTGAACACGAGCGGTGTGAATGCAATTCATGTGAACATCTGATAATGTGTGGACTAGAGAGTGGACGCCGCAGCTCCAGCATCAGTTCTTTGTGATTTTTACAGAGCGCATACTAAACAGTGAGCCTCGTGTTGCGTCTTTAGACGCTTCGTACAAATTTTCTATGAGCTGCTCGCCCCGTTTGCCTCACTTTCCCCACTGGCCCTGCCTGCGCCACTTGCCAGTGCAAACGCATCAATTTCCAGTTGAACGAATCATTAGATTTGAGGAAGATATGGTTCATCAGGGGTTAACACCAGGGCCGCTGCTTGAGCCCAGGTTTGCTCCGAAACAGAACCCCCGAATCATCAGTCGGGGGTTGGACGAGGCCGACCAGCATGCGGGCTGCATGCGTACGTGGTGCAGCACTTCTAGCATGTTCAATATGAGTCACCCGCGCTGGCACCAGGCTTGGGTAAAAGGACTTAGCATCACTGGTGGAGGGCTTCGGTGGTGTGTTGGGCGGCGACGACTGGCGATTGAATTCTCGTGGCCAGGTCCTTTCGCGCCTTGAAGAGGCCAGCGGAGCTAGTGCAAGCGCACGCACGTCGCAGAAGGATCCGCTCGCTCAAGGCTGGACCTCCGCTACCGCATGCAGATTTAGAGGGCCTTGGTGGAGGACTGGCACTGGCACTGGACAAAAAGCCTAGATTTGAGGATTCTTTCACGTGCTAACTTTGGCTTCTACAAGGCACAAGGTGGTGTGCCTCTGATGAGGACATGTCTTCACGGAAGAGATTCAGCACTTCCCAAAAGACGTCAGCGATGAGGACGGCGTTACAAGTGTTATGTTCAAGACCAATTAAAATCGTCATACTTTGATGGCAGTAATCAAATGCATTTTTCACGAAATCAAAGCATTTTATGTTGTTGTATTGAAAATAATATTGGATGATAATAAACATATGTTTGACATCATTGCGACCACTAACTCCATGCGAAGAATTCAGGAGGTAAAAAGACATAAATGTTTCATGGCATTATCTGCCACAATGTTGTGAATATTACTTGGGCACAATAATTCTTTGGTCACTGTTGAGAATGTGACGCAACTTAAGATTTGAAGAACTAACTCAAACCCTATTACAATCTTCATGATATGGTGTCGTTGACATTGAAAACTGCCAAATTATGCAAACAAGAAAGCATACAAGTGATCGAATTGTTTCTCAACGGCGTCAAAGCAGATTTTTCAATTTGAGAATGGTCAAATACAAGATGATTGGGCATCTTTGTTAATGTCATTGCATTCATGGTTTGTGCGAGATATCATTGCCAAACGTTCATCGCAGTAACCAGCTTTGAGAACCAGATACGTGTAAGGGCCCCCACGATTCACCCTTGGCACTTGTGCTAAGATGCGGGACTACAGGAGGAAACAGGTCCCAGGATGACCTTTGCCACCTCGCTGCGCTCGGTGCCTGGGGGACGTGCTTATGAGCCCGAGAAGAGAGAGCTGCCGAAGAGCGCATGACGTAGCTTACAGCAGGTGCTTGTGCAAATTAGAGACACAGATGTTCAGGTGGAGGCTCCCTGTAATTGCTACACGGGGGTGGTGGATGTCTAGCATGCCAAGGAAGGAAGCTGAGCGGCGAGTCGCGTATCGTTCGGCACCGTGCGGATCCTAGGAGCTTGTTCGGCAGAAGTCTTCCGCGTAGGAGTTGCAACATAGTGTCGGCAGGGTAGGTCTCCAGGACCTCACCAGCAATCAGGTCATGTGCTTGCCAGGTCATCGCAGAACGAACACCCACTCTGGCGTCACAGCATCAGAGACTACAGAGGTGCGCCTGGCAAGCCGTCAGAAAGTCAAAGTCCACTCGCGCGTCAATCGCTTTCGGCCGTGCCTTGCGGCAGGCTGCAAGGCAGCTGCAGAAGGCGCTGTCAGCACTTCCGCAGGACCGCCTTCAGGGCCACAGGATTGAATGGACGCCAGAGGAAAGAAGCGGGATGCAGTGTTCAAGGAGTGTTGGCAAGTGCAAAAAACCACTAAAGGCAAGTGTGACGCAAGCAGCTGCGTCTTTGGTTCCAATGAAGCTCTTGATTCCAGGACCTTGATAGCGAGCGTGACATCAAGGGGACGATTACATGATCGTGCTCGCCTTGGCCTTTGGCAGAAAAGAGGGCCCCTGCGAAGAGGCATAGTGCCAAAGCAGCTGTAGCCAAGCCTTTGTTCTCCCAGGTCACCTGCGTCTTTGCTGCCCATACGTGCCCACGCTGCAATGCTTGACTTCACGCCCCGAGCGTGCAACATGCCACAACAAGCTGTGGTTGGACCAGTCACCGAAAGTCTTCTGCAAGCCACTGCAAGCCTGAAAGTGCGCAATGCTCGCCCTATGAAGTGCCAAAAGGCGTAGCGAAGCTGCGCAATTTTCTTTCTGCTTGCCTCATGAGGGGGGGCCACTCCCAACCGGAGCCTCAATCCATTGCAACATGTGCGGCCAGGCCGTGTGGCCCCCAAGGCATGTTCCGAGAATATCCGCTTCGTGACACGGGGGCATGGGATGCTAGAAGCTTGACGTTCATGTATACCGTAGCCCTCAACAAAGCGACGTGCCCTGCAACCCCAAGTTTAAGACGTGATTTGGGAGCAGCGGAGCGACCGAGCCCCAGAGAAGTCTTGCACGGGTCGAAAGAATTATAGCAACATGTGTGAGCTCAAATTCTAGAGTGGTTCGGCATCCGTTTTTGAACCATGCTAGGAGTGAAAGCCTTTTGTTTTGAAAGCCGTGACGTGGGGGAAGTCGCGACGCGGTGAGTGGCTATGCCGTCTCAACCAAGTTGAGTAGTGCTAGCGTCTCACCTGTATGGCAGAGTGTCCACAGGCGCCGCCGTCATCTTATGACTCTCAGGAACCTTCCATGAGAATGCAGTATCATGCAGTGGCAAAGGCCTTTTTGCGCACATAGACACAGAGACATCGACATCGAAGGTGTGCTCTTGCTGTGAAGACACGCGTGTCAAGCCTTGGTGCTTCGCCACGGTAGGAAAAATTCAAAGGCATGGGAAGCCATCACCTGCTGTTTGGACGTGGTGGAATGGAGTGGCTTCGTGCCAAGCCTGAGTATCAAAGCGACACTAAGTTACAAGCCTCAAGTGGACAGAATTCGAGTAGCTAGATGGCGCTAAGCAGCCTTCCCTACTCCATTCCACACTCCTGCTCGGAGTTCAACCTTTCGGGCCGCGAGCCTTGGCAGCGCTTCATCGGGTCAAGCCGTCAAACCACTTAGCCTGGGCTTGCAAGATGCAAGTAGCTTGTTCTACGCACTGCAGACCGTTGGTTGACTATCTGCCCATTGACATGTTCGAGGCCTCCAACCTCACGCAATGGAACTCCGGCGCAACAGCCTGCAACATCCAAGCTCACACAAGCTCGCATGGTGTTGCGAATCGACGTGCAGCCACAGTGCACGGATGCACCGTGGGCGGCCATTCGCCGTGGAAACAGCATGAGCTTGGGGTGGCAGTTTGCACCTGCAAGAAGCAGGACCCGTCGAACCTTGATGGGGTTTGCTAACATGTTTCTATCCGCTGCTATCCAGCATCACGGCTCGCAGCATAGCTTGGGATCTGGGCCTTCGAGGGCTCTTCTCTTGTTTCCTGCGCGTAGACTGCACTCCCAACACTCCACTCACACTAACACCCGCACTGCACTCAACCTAAAGATCCTCACGTTCCTAAAGCACAGTTATATTAACGACACTGTTAGTCATGCTGCTCGTAGCCACTTGTTGGTCTTTTACCTCGAAGTCGGACAGGCATGACACACTCCAACGAAAAATGGTATGCTACAGTTTTGCAAGCACGCCAGAACGACTTGAGCAGCCCTTTGAATCTGCTTTAGTTCGGCCTGCGGCCATTTTTGTCACCGTGACTCGAATGCAACCCAGCCATGAAGTGAACATGCTAGACTGGGATAGACCCAACTAGGCCTGAGGGACTCGTGACTAGGCACGCCTGCCAGAAGCTCACCACAGTTCACTTGTTGATGGCAGGCAAGGCATTGAATCCATAGACGCCCTGGCGAGCATGTTTGCCATCGCCACAAGCCGCAGCCAAGGTTCTGGACAATGACTGTCATGGATGCTGGCAAAGAGGCATGCCCGCGATGCTTGAACTTGGAATCAGCATGGAGCTTCCTCAAACCCGGAAGAGAACCACACTTGCCACTCGGAGGAGGGTGACTTCACCAACCTTTATGTGAAGTGCTTTCCATCGCACTTCAAAGAGCAGCTCAGCTTCTCCCTATTTGCTGGCCAGTCGTGTCATCTCCGCCCGTACATGTATCTGCCGTGCAATAGGCGGTGTCCAAAAGCCTGAACGTCACATGTTCCTTTAGAGAGAAGCTGCTAGGCGTGGAGGCTTCAGAATGTCGGTAGTGATTCATCGAATGCAGTCTTATGCTATGCGCTGGACTTGCAGCGGCTGCCGAAAAGCAAGGTCAAGCCTCAGTCTCCAGGGAGCTCCGTAAATGCTGTCCTGCAGAGGTCGGACCTCTGCGATCTCTTCAGTGGCTTCGGACCAATTCAGGCAGCCAAGGCAACTGGGACTGCGCGATGTAGGTTCAATGTGTTCAGCGCACGCCAGTGGCAAGGCTGCCATTTTGCGCTTTGTGCCCGAATCGGGCAGGAAGTTCGCATAGGGGCAGAAATGTGAAGCGCCCACCCGCCGCCTGAGATTCAGGTCATGAATGTTCATTCCCCTTTGCTGGCCTGTTCGGTGTCTTAGTGGTATTGTACTATTTGGGGGTATTTGCTTAGTGCGAGCGGTGGTGAAGCCGTTTGAAATGAGGGTTTGTTTAGGGTTTAGGTCTAATTGGGGTTTAGGGTTTTAGGGTTTCAGGGTTTCAGGAGCAGAGGGCTTTGGAGATTTTGCACATGGACACTTCTCTAAAAATCGGGCCCCTTTTGGGGTCCTTATTGTAAGGTGGCGCGTCTTATTTTCTGTACCCCAAGCCTCAACTTGGGCTACTTGAAACACCTTTGCAGACGCAGTAGCCTCATGGAGCATTGTTAGGGAAGCACAAAAAAAGTTCAGGTCATGACAGACAATCGCGGCCGCTCTTTTGGCTTCGTCAATTTCGAGCAGTCGAAGGACGCCAAAGAGTGCCTCAATGCAGCCTTAGCAATGACTTGTGTTGGGTTTTTCCTGACTTAGTTGAAAAGAAGACCTATTGGGGACCGCAGCTAGGAAAGACAGATCTTGCTCAAAGAGTGAGCCCCGAAAACGAGCCCCATGATCAATGCTCTGAGGTGCGTGCGACTCATGCACTGCAAGGATTTGCGGACGCGAAAGGAGCTGAAAGAGGCACATTGTGGTTTGGTGTCTGTAGAGTGCAATAACATTGGGAATGGACACTGTAGCCACTGCTGTGCAACATCGCATGCCCACGCAAGTCACAACCTGCCCCCAAGCACCACCAAGGCCTTGAAGCCCTGGTTACAACACCATTTCTACAAACATCATCCATGCTCACCTCCGTGCGCTCCATCCAAACTCCTGACAAGACCTCGAAGACTTCGGACTGACTGTAGCATGACTGCGAGGCCAAAAAGCTGGAAGCAGAGGGGAAAGCACCCCCGGTTAAACGAGACGTGGATGGCACCTGGGCTGCACAATGCCGCGCATGTGGGTGCGTTGATGTCTTCTGATGGCTCATCGACTCGCTGGGATCCATGTTGGCCAGGTCACCCAGAGCATCTTCTATACGTCAGCCGAGCGCAGAAGCGAGAAGAGCGAGAAGCAATGTTTCAGAAGCAGCGCCTTGGCCCTGATGAAATCGGCTCTTGAGCCGCTTGAGCTGGTGCACGTTGCTCGCGGTTGTTGGATGGACGTAGCCAAATGCTAGAACCCACGCCGGCAAAAACTCGTGTTGAACGGTGGGCCACGAAAGCAATGTGCCGCTGCGACTTGAGATTCAGGAGCGTGCGGCAGTCGCATGGTTTCTTCTTTCCATACCCGCCATGTCACTTTGAATGCTTGGTTCCTTCCACCAAGTGCATGGACAGGTTTGCGGATAAGGGGCTGGGGCCGCTTGGCTCGATTTGGACCTGTCTGAGGCACTTGGATCCTCCAAGGGTGTGTGCCTCCTCCACTCTGCAAGCTCTGGCACACAAAAAGATGGCACCACATTGGCCTTCGTATGTGAAGAGTTCCCACAACCTGCCTTCTAAAGAAAGAAGTTTGGTTGGGGGTTCGTCCTGCCGTCACGTGAGATGGTGGTCGAAATGCTCGCTCCAAACAGCAAACATGAGCTTCGCCAGCGTGAGAGTCGAAGCCCCAAACACATCCAACATCCAAACATCAGAATTGCAAGACTCTCAGCAAACTCTTTGATTTGTTTTTGGTGCCCTTGATTATCGAAGAACATTTGAGACTTTGAGCAAACTAAGGCGGGGAGCCAGCAAGGGGAAAGGCAAAGGAGATGGCAAAGGCACGGGCAGTGTTCCGGTTGAACAGTGTCATGTCCTGTGGTGGTGGACCACAGGACTCTGGCCGGTTTGTGGTGGTTACAGCATATTCAACGCGTGTTCAAGCCGAATTGCTAGGCGACCTCTTCAACGAAGGCAATGGCTCATTGCCGCAGCTCCTTGGGCTGCACATGGCTGCACCGAGTTACCTTGCCTCTCCTGTACCTAAAGATTTTTTACTGTTAGCGCTGGATGTTCAGGTTGCGAAGTCAGTTCCCAAGGTCGAATCTGCTGAGCAGTGATCCCTTCGAGGCTCGTGTCTTCCTGTCGAGTCGACTTCGGTCAGTCAGCATCTTCGGTTGCCAGTTCTGGAGCTAGCCAGCGTAGCTGCAACTGCAGCGCACACATGTGTGCAATGTACACATCAAGTTCACGCTTGCAGGATCTCGCGAGTGGTAACGCCTCTCAGGGCGTTTCCATCCCCTTTCCTTCTTTACCAACGCCTGCGTGGCAGCAGCCGTCACAGTTCGCTGGCCCAAATCTGGATAAGTTAGGCTCGAAATCAAGGTGCTCCAGCATTAAAGCTTGGGAGAGGACAGAAGAGGAAGACAGAGTAAGGAGCAACGACTCGTGATGCCCAGGTACGGCTATGGAAGTGGCAACTGCCAAGAAGCTCATGGCCCGAGCTTCCGCGCCATTCCCAGCTTACTTTACAATGCCTGCGTTGCTTTGTTTTAGGGTGTTTGCAGCTGCAGCAAGATGGCATTGATGTTCATTGGGTTCACATCCATGCAGAGTGACTCGAGGCTATACGAATGGTCACGATGCCGGATTTTCAGGCTCTGGAGGACGGTTGGCCAGCGGACGTTACTGATCTGGGTGTTCGGAGAGTCAAGGGTGCCAGAATGCAGCAGTGCATCACATTGCATTTCTACAGAGGGCACTTCTCAGAACATTGCAGAAGAGCATCTCTAAATTTGTCACATCCAGGAGGTGGTTGGTCGGCATCAGATACGTCTTCCACCAACTGGCAGGCAATTGAAACACGCGTTGAAACATGTTTTCGCATTGGGAGTTTGGAGTGCACTGGTGGTCCGGTGAGGCTGTCTTTCTGTGCTCCACGATGCCGGTAGTGTAAATCTTGCTCGAGGTTTCAACCCTTAAGAACCCTTAAGAGATTTCTTCCAAATCTGAAAGCCCGACGCGGCAGGGCCAAAACTGGCCGGGCAGCTCGTGGGAACAGGGGTCATGGTCCAGCTGGAGTCTCTTGGCAGCAAGCGGCAGCGAGAGTACATCGATGGCAGTCTCCCTCATTCCTGATTCCTGAACTTACCATGATCCGACAGGCAAGGACACAAGGCGTGTTTGGGATAGCTAGCTGCTGGTCGACCCAAGCCAGAATACTCGAACCTACGATCTCCGATTGCGCGGATTGTTCTTATCGTGCTAGGGGTTTTTAGTGCCTTTGTCGGGCCAGGGGCCACGAACACCTTGCTCTGCCTTGCTCATGGCAGGAGCTGACAACCTAACGATGTCGGACAGCGACTTGAATAAACACGAGAGCCACCCCGGAGCCGTGCGAAATGAGTGGCTTTGAAGAGTCTTAAGTGGGCCTCCAGTTACATTCAAGGTGGCAACGGGCCATATGGTGGCAACGACACTTATGGATGTGACGGATATGAAAGCCCCTATAGCATCTTGGCTTGCAAGTATGTGCACGAATGCAAGATGTTGTGGCCACGATTGCTCGAGGCGGAAATGGGCTGAGTTACGCGGCCCCGCTGCTTTCTCAGCGTTGAATGCCCAAGGAATTGCGAGCTCTGATAGGGTCCGGGCGGCAGGTCTGTTGGGAGGAGCGCAAGGTTTGCGAGCGCCTCGAACACAAAGCATGCTGATGCATGCTGCACCAGTTCAGAGGTCGAACTTCGGCCCGGCCTCGTTGCGCCGCGGCTGGCAAGTCTAAGCCCGGTCATGCGGAGGCACTCCAGTAATGATCACAATGCACGCTGTGCTGAACGCTGTGTGAACGTGAATCTGTGCTGCGTGCATGTAGCTTCGAGTCACGTGCGAGGATATGAGGTGGGGGCCAGAGCGTGAGAGGTCCCACATGGGAGATGCTTCTCCAAAGTGGAAGCAGCCAGGGGCACTGAGTGCTGTGCCCATCAAAAGCTTTGTAAAGTAATAGTATGGATATTTGTAGAGTATTTCACGGCTTCTAGGACGGTCTCGGCCACACTGAAGGCCCACAAAAACGGAAGTCGTAAAGGGGTCAAAGAAGGCAGCTTGTCAACCTAAGGCATGACATATGAGGCACGGACAGTTCTTCGGCCATCTGCTATGGCCACGGTCTGCCTTTTGGTCTACTTCTCCCAGCTTTCTTCTCAATTCGATTATGATACCAGCGCTGCGGCCGAAAGAGGGTGCTGGATTTTTGCCTCCGCGAAACCACACAGAATTTACATTCGGGAAATTGCATAGCCAAGCGTAGACCTTCAAACCATGGCAGCATCAAAAAGCTATTCTTGACACGCGGTCCAGCTTCCCTTGCCGGCCCCTCGCACTCGGAAAGGGCGCATAGCCGGAGCGAGGTTGCGCGATGCTTCTTATAGCCGATAGAAGTATGTCATGCATGTACTTTTATCCGACCGCTGAAGTAATGATGTAGTGGCAATTGGCACACATGTCTTTCTTGAATGGCTAGCCGGCGCAAGAACGGCAAACCTGAAACAGGCAAGAGATCAAGTGCACCATGCCGACTAGCCTTCGTTTGCAAGGTTCGTCGCAGGCCTTCAAGCCCAGGCTTGCAAAGGAGGCTTGTTTCGGCGGGCGTTCCGCGCCAGCCGGATGTCAAGGTTTCCAGTGGCACGCCTGAAGGCAAGGCGGGCAGAGCTGGATCTTGACATGGTGCGTTCGTTGATTTCGTTGGCGGCTGTGGCTTCGTCTTCCTTTGACACAGCATTGCCGGTGAAGATGCTAGCAGTTACCAGTGGCACACATTGTGATGTAGTTTCTCAGTCTTGCTGGCATCGGACTTCGGCTTCTGGTACATTATGAGATGACCCTTTCTTTCCCACGGGCGTAGGAATTAACAAAGCTTCTCGGCAAGGAGGTCGGGCAAACACAAGACTTGTGCCATGATTGAGACGGCCTACGATTGCCAATTCGATTGCCTACGGACGTGAGAAGATTTGGGCAGAGGGCAAGGCGTCCAGCTAGCCAGTCCGAGAGTGTGTTCTCAACTCCGCATGTCGAGCATAGATTTTGTACCCGCAGAAATCACATGAAAGAGACTCAGAGGTCGTAGCTGTAGCTATTTGAACAGGAGAGCCTCGAGGGCTGGATCTTCTGAATCGCTGTGTTGCTGCCGATTGTAATCGTCTGCACTCTTCGGGCGCTGTTAGATCAGGCTCCATGTAGAACTCTAGGTTCGCTTACTCGAAAAGGCTCACACCGGACTTAGCCAGGTTCCGAACTTTACACTCACGCAGTCAAGGGAGGAACCGCTCTCGGATGTGTGCTGAGGGTGCCTGAAATTGAAATGTCTGAGATTTCTTAGCTCCGGAGCTCAGAGGAAGCGCAGTCAAAGGCTACTGCGCTGAGGCGAAGTCTCGGGAAGGGCGGCAGGCATTTTCAAGCTTCAGATAGGACCAGGAGATCCTCTGGCCCCCAACATCACCCCTAACGACTGCGTTGTTCCTGCCTTAACTGCGATTTCGCTCATCTTTGCTCTGATGCCAGCACACGCAGAGAGCAGTGGACACTGCAAAACTCGGCCAGAGAGTGAGCAGCCTTCTGCGAGTGGTGTAGTTTTCTGAGACAGGTTCTTCAGCAGCATGGGCTTCTAGGCTCCAATGCTCGAGCTATGTGTGGTGTTGTGTCCACTGACTCTGTGTATGTCAGGCCACACCTATCCTTCCGGCGGAAGAGGTGTTGAGTGCCATTCCTTTGCCCGCCATGGATACCGAACGTTATCGTCAAGACCGAAGCAGACCCCAAGGTATCGTCTTGCAGCAAAACATAACCGCAAGCAGGACCCCTTCTGCCGGCAGAGAGAACGTTTCACATTCATAGCGGTCCGAGTGCAGTTCTGGAGCAGCCTGCCAGGCTGAGATCTTGGAACCTTCGCTTTCGATCCCGTTCACCCAGCCCGAATTCGCGAAGGGTGCATAGCCCTGTAGCTAGACATTAGCTGGGACAATTTTCCCAAAAGTGTTACAGTATCTTTCGATAATGATTGTGGAAGGCCAACGTATGTACAAGAACCTCAGCGAGAACGAAATGCACACGGCAGATGCTCTGGACCCTCACGCGTGCACGGCGCAGGGCGATGCTGGCATCTTCTGCGTAAGTCAACAGACTCGTTGTGGACCGCGCAGAAGCCATGGGTTGCTTGTGCTCTGCTTCGTAACACTTGGCCCCAGAAAAGAGGAAACGCAGCCGTGCTCTAGAAGACGGGTCTCATCGTGATTCGATCGGGGGCGCTTCAATAAACTTGAGATACTGTAGGTTGGACTAGTTGGAGTCACTCTCTCGACAGAGGCTTGATAGAACCTTGATGGCCGTTGTTTTGTTCGCGCGATTCGTGCAGGTTGTTCTGCAAATTAGTTCGGGTTGCTTCTAGTTGCTTAGTGAGACATCGGCTTTCCGAAAGCTGTTCAATCGCATGCCGTCGGGAGATGCCAGCATCCTGCAGAAAGGGTGGCGTGTTCTCCTGTAGATGAAGACCGGAACTGATCCCAGCATATCCCAGCAATCAGCCAACGGCCTCTCAGAGACGTATGAGACATGCCGCAAGTTCTGCCACTGCACGGCGTTCAGAATCCTTAGAACCCATGCCAACCCGACAGTTCTGCGACGCGAGCCAGTGGAACATGGCAGAAAAAGTGCGTGAACGTACTGCATTTATCTGCATTAGCAGTGCAAGATGAGGTGACGCTGTTGAATTTCTGTCGGTTGTACTGGTTTGCATGCTCATTCGCTGCAAGAGCGCCCGGCTTCCACCCAGCTTCCACTAAGGTCATCTTGCGTCTTTGTGGCTGAGCGATTCCGTTGCAAAAGAACCAGCGCTTTTTGGCACGCGGCCTAATATATGGCCTCTACAGCCTGTGCACCCTGCTGTGGCAACCCATCACTTCACGTCATGAGCAGCACACCGCCTGTGCATGCCATGAAGGCTCAAGCGGCCACTTGCCCGTTCTTTGTTCATCCTGGTTCATGTGCAAATTGCCGAGCCTCATCTGTGAATTCTGCAAGAGCTTTTGGGAGCTGAAAGCGTAAAGGCGCAAGGCCAAGCTCTTTTGGTCGCTCAGTGGCGATGGCATCATTTCGCTGTGGCCTCGTTTGTATCCTCACCGCACAGGCTGGGTGCTTTCACTTGAATCGATGGCTCAACTCTGAAGCCCGAAGTCGTGCAGTAGCAGCCTGCTTGTTAAAGCACTTGCCAACCATGCCAGCTGGCTTGTCGCACGGCCGCTCGGAATTGCTCCGAGCGATCGGGCGGTGCCTTCGTTACAATGCTGGTCGGGGTGCCGTGGCGGGCATGGAGGATTAATAGCTGGAAGGTGGATCGACAATACTGGACAATGCCTTCATTGTTCTCAATTTGTCTGTTTCAGTTCTAGACGCTCGCCTCCTGGCCTGAGGAGAACGAGTCCGTTTCGCCCTGGGTGGAGGACGTGGGTTGCCAACAAGTAAGCAGGCTTTTCACCCGTTCAGCTTCAAGCACTCCAAAGACGCATTCAACCTGCAAGATATCGCGACCCCACACTCAGATGGGGCGATCGATATTTTACAGTTGGCCTTAGTCTCAAAACAAATTCGTCGATCTTGTGCCCATCTCGGCCGCCCGCCCCACCAAAAAATGAAGCAACAAAAAGGGAGTAGAAAATCCCGCTGCAAACGCTGTAAATCACAGCGCTTCTGATTGTTCTCAGGCGGCAAATGCTACAACTTGCCATGTTTCTGACTGCTGCAAGCTCCAAATTTCTTTGAGGTATTGTTCACTACGTCCGAAGCGTGGAAGAATGGCCCACAAAGCGGTTAGCCCCGCTCTCCTGGCCCCCCTTCAAACCCATCCCAAGCCACCACACGAGCATTGTGTTTGCAAATGTGGGCCGCAAACCCCCAACTCTCC